CACTCATCATGATAAAAGTTCTGGAGAGATTAAGGATACAAGGGACATACCTCAACCTGATAAGGGCAGTTAACAGCAAGCCCATAGCTAACATCAACTTCAATGAAGAGAAACTCAAAGCAGTTCCACCAAACTCAGGAACAAGACAAGGTTGTCCACTCTATACCTATTCAATATAGTACTTGAAGTTCTAGCTAGCGCAATAAGACAACTAACAAGGGGATAAAAATTGAAAAAGAAGAAGTCTAAGTATCTTTATTTGCAGATGATATGATAGTATACATAACTGACCCTAAAAATTCTTCTGGGAAACACCTACAGATGATAAACACTTTCAGCAAAGTAACTAGATACATAATTAATTGACAAAAATCAATAGCCTATCTGTATACAAATGACAAATGGTCTGAGAAAGAAATCAGGGAAGCAACACCTTTCACAATAGCCTCAAATAATAGAAAGTATCTTGGGATAACTAACCAAGCAAGAGAATGACTTGTAAGATAAATTTTTTTTTTTGGTTTTTCGAGACAGGGTTTCTCTGTAGTTTTGCGCCTTTCCTGGAACTCACTTTGTAGACCAGGCTGGCCTCAAACTCACAGAGATCCTCCTGCCTCTGCCTCTTGAGTGCTGGGATTAAAGGCGTGTGCCACCACCGCCCGGCTGTAAGATAAAAATTTTAACACGCTGCCGGGCGATGGTGGCACACGCCTTTAGTTCCAGCACTTGGGAGGCAGAGGCAGGTGGATCTCTGTGACTTTGAGGCCAGCCTGATCTACAGAGCAAGTTCCAGGACTGGTTCCTTAGCTACTGAGACACCTTGTTCTGAAAAAATAAAAATAAAAAACAAATTTAAGACACTGAAGAAGGAAATTGGTGAAGATTTCAGAAGATGGAAAGATCTTCCATGCTCGTGGATCGGTAAGAATAACATAGTAAAAATGGCTATCCTACCAAAAAGCAATCCACAGATTCAATGCAATCCCCATTAAAACTCCAACATAATTCTTTATGGATCTTGAAAGGAAAATTTTCAGCTTCATAGCTTCATATGGAAACACACACACACACACAAATTGATCAATTGAATCAAACTGAAGATCCTGGGACATCTGATTTTTGACAAAAAAAAAAAAAAACAGAAATACACACTGGAAAAAAGACAACATCTCCAACATCTTCAACAAATGGTAGTGGTTAAACTGGATGGTTGTATGTAGAGGATCCCAAATAGATCCATACTTATCATCCTGCACAAAACTCAACTCCAAATTGATCAAAGACCTCAACCTAAAAACAGATATCTTTGAATCTAACAGAAGAGAAAGTAGGGAACAGCTTTGAACTCACTGGTACAGGAAAAGACTTTCTGAACAGAACAGCATGAACACAGATGCTAAGATCAACAATTCATAAATGGGGTCTCATGAAAAGCTTCTGCAAGGCAACGGATCCCATCATTCAGACAAAGTGGCAACTTACAGAACGGAAAAAGATTTTTACCAACTACACATCCAATAGAGGGCTAATATCCAAAATATGTATTAAAAACTCAAACAAAATATATAAAGAACTCAAAAGACTAGGTATCAAGAAAACAAATGACTCAATTAAAAAATAGGGTACAGATCTAAACAAAGAATTCTCAATAGAGGAATCTTAAATGGCTGAGAAAAAAAAAGAAATGTTCAATATTCTTAGTCATTAGAGAAATGCAAATCAAACCAGCTTTGAGAGTCCATCTAACACCTGTCAGAATGCCTAGAATCAATAACACAAGCAACAGCTCATGCTGGCAAGGATATAGAATAAGGGGGGGGGACACTCATCCATTGCTGGTGGGAGTGCAAACCTGTACAGCCACTATGGAAATGAGTGTGGTGGTTCCTCAGAAAGATGGGAATTAATATACCTCAAGATCCAGCTATACCACTCTTGGGAATATACCCAAAGGATGCCTTATTCTACTACAGAGACACTTGTTCAAACATATTCGTTGCTGCTCTTGTATCCAAAAATTGAATAATAATTAATATTCAAGAGATGAATGGATAATGAAAATGTGGTACATTTACGCGAATGAATATTACTCAGCCATTAAAAAGAATGAAATTCACAGGTAAATGGATAGAACTAGTAAAAAAAAAAAAATCATCCTGAGTGAGTTAACACAGACCCAGAAAGCCTAATACGGTATGTATTACTCAGCCATTAAAAAGAATGAAATTCACAGGTAAATGGATAGAACTAGTAAAAAAAAAAAAAAAAAAAACCATCCTGAGTGAGTTAACTCAGACCCAGAAAGCCTAATACGGTATGTATTAGCTTACATGTGGATATAAGCAGTTAAGTCAATGGTAACCAAGCTTCAATCTTTAGAATCACAGAGGTTAAGCATAGAGTAAAGGACTAGGGAGGAGTCCTTCCCCTAGAAGGGGAAATAGAAGAGAAAGTTATAGATTGGGGTGGGGGTGGGGAGCTGGAATGAGAGGATCAGGTAGGCAAGGAGAGAAAAGAAGGGGACCAGGGAGTGAATACAGGGAGAAACAGCTAAAATTAAAGGCCATTTGAGCAGCAGTATGGGAAATAATACAGTAGAAGCTTCCTAAAATATATACATATACAAAGGCAATCTAACTGAAATCACCAAATAAAGGGGAAGGGGGCAGAGCCCAAAGTGGACATCTTTTGTCACCAAATGAAATTTCCAGTACCAAGAATGGGTTATACCTAATTGAGTTGTTGGCCAAAGGGTTACCATGGCAACCCTCAAACAACCCAAGCTGTTGCCCAGACTATAGGTTGCTCTCCACAAACTGAAGGCAAGACTCAGCCAGATAACATGCAGAGAGTGAGAGACCTTGGAACACTCAGCCCTAAACAGGATGTCTCCATGAAATCCCTCCCCTTAGGACTCAGGGAACACTGTGGAAAAGGAGGAGGAAAGAGTGTAAGAGCCAGAGGGGATGAAGGATGCCAATAAAAGAAGGCGCTCTAAATCAACAGATCGACCCACATATGAACTCACAAGAGATTGAGGCAGCATGCACGCAGCCTGCACAGTCTGCACCAGATGCGGTCCTTCAGCTGATGGACACACTCCCCCATCCCTAACCCACAGCAATCTCCAACTGAAAACCACTTGGACACAAAGAGTTAGTTCCTCCAAGGCAGTCTCACTAGGAAAACAAACTACTCTTAAGGGTAAGCTGCATGCCCAGCAGTAGATGGCCAACAGAAAACAAATTCAAGAGCATCTTTGGAGGATCCTTGTCCCATAATGTTGTGTCAGGGCTTTTTGTTTGTTTTGTTTTGTTTGAATTTCATCTTATATTCTATTTTTAATTAATTTTATTTTATTTATATTTTTTCCTCTCTAGTTACCCTACAGGTCCTTTGTGTAGGTATTATGGCTTCCAGTTTAGTATTTTAATGGGATTCCTGAGTGTGCACGCAAATGAGCTTCTATGTCTGTATCTGTTTCTTGTGTCTTTTCTTGGGCTCTTTTCCGTCTGTTTGTTTTGTCCTATTCTGATGTGTTATTTTTGTTTTATCTTACTATATCATATTTTATTTTATTGTTATCCCTTATCATCCTTTCTATTTTCTAATGAAAGATAGAAAGAGGGTTGATCCGGATGGGAGGGAAAGTGGGGAGGAACTGGAAGGAGTAGAGGGAGGGGAAACCATAATCAGGGTATTTTTTTTTTTTAAGATTTATTTATTTATTATGTACACAGTGTTCTGCCTGCATGTATGCCTGCAGGCCAGAAGAGGGTGCCAGATCTCATTACAGATGGTTGTGAGCCACCATCTGGTTGCTGGGAATTAAACTCAGAAACTCTGGAAGAACAGCCAGTGCTCTTAACCTCTGAGCCATCTCTCCAGCCCCAGGACATACTATGTGAGGGGGAAAAAAATCTATTTTCAATGAAAGGAAAAAAATAAGGATGTGAGTCTGGAGAGATGGTTCAGCGGTTAAGAGTATTGGCTGATATTACAGAGGATCCATGGTTCAGTTCCCAGCAACTATATAGTGGCTCACAAACCCAGAAAAATGAACAAATTCTCTTTCATCAGAGGCATCTAGCTCCAAAAATTCAGATGCAAATAAATATCTTGGAATAACTGCAGAAACCAGGAAAGCAAATGGGACCATTGCTGGCGTAGGTGGTTGGGGGAGCCGTGAAGAGGGGAATAGCAGGGTACAGGTGATCTGGTGGAGGAAAGGGGGAAATGGGGGCGCTCTAATTAGGTGGTTGGAGGGAGATAAATACACAAGGAAACAGGAAGGGGGAATAAAATAACAGTAAGGATGTTTGAAAAGTCATAAAGAATAATACTATTATCTACCTAAAAAAAGCATAATACACATAAATATATATAAATATACATATACAGCTTAAATGAAATTTTCCCATCTAGGCTGATAATGCTTCCTCCAATACCCAAAGACCATCTAACAAAAACCCCCATACCAGTCAAGAGAAGCAGCCCTCTTCTGGGTTGTTGATGAGGCTGTCTCAAAACATTAGACTATTGCTATTGACCTTGGTTGTCTCCCAGAGATGGAAGGTAAGCCCCTATTGCTGAAGACCCCATTCACTTCAGACACAGGGATCAGAGGCCCCTAAGCTGGAAGTGACCTGAAAGCTTCCTCCTTGAGGATTAGCCTTCATGGAACCAGAAGGGGCCGTGCAAGCTTCCAAAGTCGGGAAGCAACCAACAGTCCCATTCAGCTATGATGCCTAGGAACCACAACAATGACCAGCATGGCACAATAACCCTAAGGGTGCAGCAGTGGTATGCAGACCTTGGTGATACCCAACAGCTCTCTAATTGGACTTCAGACTCACCCAAGAGGAAATCATACTGGAAACCCAGCCAACTACCCAGGACTAGTGAAGTGATGGATCTTGGAGGAGAACCTATAACTGTCACTTTACTAGATCAGCATAATCCCTAACTGTACCTCTAAAACAAACATAAAAACTACTTACAGTTCAGGAGCGGCTGCATACAAGAAATGTCAGATAAAAGAAAGGTGCTTTTTGGTGGTAGCAGGTACTTCTGCCCCATTAAAGTAATCATTTTGGAAAAGCTAGAGCCGTTTTCAATGACCTGTGAAGATAAATCCAGCTCTGTAACAGACATGTCGTCTTCCGGCAACCGTAGCATCTGAAGCTCCATTTCATTCAAGGCAGGCCACTGCTTTGCCATCTCACAGAATTCTGACAAATTGCAAGCATCAAGTGGTAAAGCGGTGTGGCCACTATTGCCATCCTGTTTTTCAACAAGTGGATAAAGAAAACCACTTTTGAGACCTTCTTGGATTAACTGTGAAGATCCACCCAAAATCAGCTCTCTGATCTGTTAAAAAAAAAAATTGTTTAAAGTACATTAAAACAATACTGGTTTTAAAATCGTTTTACAGGGACTGGAAAGATGGTTCTGCAGTTAGGAGCACTAGCTGTTCTTTAAAAGAATGTGGATTCAATTCCCAACTCCCACACAGTTGCTCACAACTAGCTGTCAATCCAGTTTCAGGAGATCTATCACCCTCCTCTGGCTTCAGAGGGCACCAGGCATAAACACGGTACACAGACATGTATGCAGGCAAAACATCTATACACATAAAATAAAATTAGATTACAATTAAAATAATTTTCCAAATAATTAATTCTACTGTGCTTTGACTATTTTATTTAATATACTAAAATCTACTCTTATTCAGCTTAGAGTAATTTTATAGTATAATAAGATTATAAGAGTGTTAAGAGCATACTTTTGAACTCTACAGAATGAAACACACGTCATAAACCCCCTATTAAATAATGTGACGACATATGTATAGAAAATGCTGAAGCTTCCAGCCAAAAATAACTTTTTCTTGCTTGGGTTGTTTCTGTCAGACATCTGTATGTAGTGATGAGAAAAATAACCACTGTCTATGCTTGCAACATTCTTATAGGACATGGGGTACAAAGGGCATATCAACATAAAGCACATGCTTTTCCTTGTGCCAGGAACCACAGTCCTTTGTCCTGGTCCAGACATTCCACATCTTCTGCCAGCATCTATGAAACTTCATGGTAGGCTAACTTGTTCACTTCCTAAATCACAGTCGTCACAGTCCTCACTGGAGCGTTGGGTAATCACGTCACTCAGTAGGGGAGAAATACTGACCTTAGACACTGCTCTAAACCCACCTCTTAAAACCAACCAGAGGCTAGCACGCCTTTAATCCCAGCACTCAGGAGGCAGAGGCAGAACTCTGTGAGTTCGAAGCCAGCCTGGTCTACAGAGCGAGATCCAGGACAGGCACCAAAACTACACAGAGAAACCCTGTCTCGAAAAAAAAAAAAAAAAAAAAAAAAAAAAAACCCAAAAAACAAAAAACAAAAACAAAAACAAATCCACCAGAAAGGGTAGAACAAGAAACACAAATTCTGCAGACAGTGAAGTTCTCAATCCTACACTTAGGAGCACTACATCCAACAGTTACAGAACATAATCTTCAACCCCACACAGTACAATCTCAAAGATAATTCACACGCTGGGCAATGAAACAAAGCTCAACAAACTTAAAAGAAACTAAAATTTATTCTTTTTTTTTTTTTTTTTTTTTTTGGTTTTTCGAGACAGGGTTTCTCTGTATAGCTTTGCACCTTTCCTGGAACACACTTGGTAGCCCAAGCTGGCCTCGAACTCACAGAGATCCGCCTGGCTCTGCCTCCCGAGTGCTGGGATTAAAGGCGTGCGCCACCACCGCCTGGCCTAAAATTTATTCTTAAACCCCAAAGGATTTAAGTTAGAAATCAAGAACAAAATGATACTAAAATTAACCCCAAATGCAAATGAAATAGTTCTGTTCTAAAGAATTCACGCAAGTCAAAGATGAAATCACAAGAGAGATTAGAAAATGTTTTTTTTCACAATAGAAGTGAAAATAAAAAATATTAAAATACATAAATCACAACGAGATCCCATTCTGTACTCATTAGGATAGCAATTACAAAACGAAATAGAATGTTTTGGTGAAAACGCGGAAAAGTTGGAATGCACTGTTGGTGGTAATACAAAAATTGTACAGCAGCTATGAAAAACAGGATGACAGTTTCTGGGGGAAAAATAATTCCATGTATATAATCTACCTACTCCACGACCTCTATAGCAGCAATATGACAAGATCTACCAAATGTTCAAACCAAGATAATTAGGGGAAAGGGGAACAAAAAAAATGCATGTTTTCTCTCATGCAGAATGTACATTTGATGATACATGCATGTATATCATTATTTAACTCTGTGTCTATGTATGCATCATGAAGGAAGAAGGGGGACTACTTGGAGAGAGGGACTAGCAAAAAGGGTTAAAAAGAGAGAGAAAAGTACTGGAGGTGGAATATGAGCAAAGTACAATGATACATATGTATGAAAATGTCATGATCAACCTCATTATTTATAGGCTAAATAAAACAATTAACAAAAAATCAGCAATTCATCATAATACAAGACTGTGGCCTTATTCCTGCTGAGCTACTCCTGGCCTGGCTCCAGAGAGTAGCATCTAGCCCTAATCCATCCTTTGTTTAACCAATACCTTTTGTTTCTCCTTTGTGAATCTTGTCTGAGAGTCCCCCAAGGATCAAAGGCCTATGCAAAACTTGGTTCAGGAAACCCGGAAGACCATGGTACCTTCTTCCAGCCATCACTGGTCGCCTTTCTACCCTCAAATAATCCCTCTGTTTCATGTCATAGCTACATACAGAAAGTTAAATAACAATCCATGTTCAGCTGTTTACTGTTGAATCTAAATTGAACGCATGAGAGGAAACATGCAAGAGTAAAAACACTGAACAGCCTCAATGAACTTAACCAATAACACAAGATTAATTCATCAACTACTCAGACTGACAGAAGCATATGTGATGTTAATAAAAATTGGCTTCCACTGTTTATTACTGAGAAGAAATAAACCACCTGAATTCTAACTCGGACCAAAACAATTGCTTTTATTCCTAAAATATATTTTGCTCATTTTTATGCTACTTCACATTAATCTTCCTACAAAATCAATAAACATTTTATACTTACCTTTGTATGATATTCTATGGCATCCAATTCACCTTGATTGAAAACCAGACATCTTTTACGTTTCTAAAGAGAGGGTGACAAGAAAAAAAATAATGTTGCCATCTCTCGAAAAGTTGACATTTTGAAAACTGTTATAAAGACAATTGACTTCTGAGCCCACTGTTTATATTGTGTTTTATTTTTTTTACATTTATCTATTTATTCATCCATTGTGCATTGAGGGGAAGGGTACATAGCAATGTCACCCATGTGGAACTTAGAGGACAATTGGTGGGAGTCAGCTCTCTCCTTCTACCACATGGGCCCTGGTGACCAAACTCAGACCATGAGGTTTGACAGCAAGCACCTTGACCTGCTGAGCAGCTACCTCTCCAGGCTTCTGCTTACTTTTTTTTTTTTTTTTTTTTTGGTTTTTCGAGACAGGGTTTCTCTGTGTAGCTTTGCGCCTTTCCTGGAACTCGCTTTGGAGACCAGGCTGGCCTCAAACTCACAGAGATCCGCCTGGCTCTGCCTCCCGAGTGCTGGGATTAAAGGCGTGCGCCACCACCGCCCGGCTCTGCTTACTTTTTGAGACATGCAATGTGTTGTTCTAGAATGGTAGATAGATAAATAAATAAATAAAGTATTGCTCTTGGGTATGCTAACACCTTCTCCATTATTAATTCGTCTTTATACTTAGGAAATAGAAAGTTATTTGAGATACTGGAATTAAAATTTTATTTCATGTAAAAAAAAAAAAAAAGCTTAAAACTTCCTACCTTCCCAATAGAAATGGAGACTTCTTGTTTATTACCAGCCACTAAATTCTCGTGGTTGTTGTTTTGTTGGCATTCTTTGCGAACAGCTGAAGTTATGTGAGGTTTGGTGACATTAAACAGTTCAGGTCGGAAAACGTATTTCTGGGTGATCATTTCACAACTTCCTCCGTCCTCACTGCCTGGCACAGTAGTGGAGTCTGGAGCAAAGCCCGCAGCAGGAGCCCCAAAAGGAGACATGGCTTCCATCGGACGAGAATCCAGGCAGACAGGAGAGGTGGGCTTCTTTTTACTGCAGGAAGGCTCTGGATGCTGGTGAAGTTGATAGTTGACCTTGTTAATGAAAGAAAGATGATCCAGTAACCACCCAGGTGGCAAATGGTGTACCACAGACATACTTAAAAGGAAAAAAAAGAACTGAGAATCAAGAGTCAGAAGTAGGGCTTGGAGCGTAGCTCAGTGTGGGGGTGCTGGGCTTGACACCCAGTGCTGAAACAACAACAACAACAAACAAAAAGAACTTTTAAAATCAGGTTTTTAATGTCCTATATTTCAATGATGTACTTCATACGCACAAGTATGTTTGATATGCAGACATACATAGCACCTCTAAGGAAAAATGCAATACTTTAAATGTCTTTTAATTTTAGAGTTGGTCATTCAAATTGTTCAGCCAACTTGGCCAAAGATGCTTTTAGAGTGATGGATCTGGAATCCCGGTTTGATCCTCCTTTCTTCCATTGTCCTCCATGGTCCTGTTTTGGTCCTCGGATTGAGGCACTCGTCCACATCATCCAAGTATTCAAGTCACTTGGTCCTTAAAGGGTGAGTGGCCTGTCAAGTCAAAGAATACTAATTATCTACAAGAATACACCTTCTTAAATTACATAAAACCTGTCTAGAGAGGGCCACAGAACTTCAAGAGGAGCTAGCCTTTGCGTTTTCAAACTATATCTTCCACAGGATGTCTAATCCCTGCCCTGTTTAACAGCCATCAATGGAAGAACAGTAAGAATAAAAGACTGCTCCAGCCAGGTGGTGGTGGCACACGCCTTAAAGCGAGTTCCAAGAAAGGCGCAAAGCTACAGAGAAACCCTGTCTCGAAGAAAAAAAAAAAAAGACTGCTCCAGCTAAAGGAACTGCAATATGAATCGCACATCAGAAGCGCATACCTAACTAATTTTCTAGGTCAGAACTTCAAGATTAAAGGTCTAGACCTGTAATCTGTTTGCGCCACACTCCAGTAAATTGGTTTTTCAGAACTTCTTTATCTTCATTTAAACTATGTTTTGCAGTTCTGGATATAGCTTATTTAATTATGATGTAGTGGAAACTTTAAGAGGGCACCGGAGAAGAAATACGTGAAAGGCACAGCTAATAATAATAGCATTTATAGTCAAATTTCTTATGAAATTGACCGTGAACTAGTTTTTGTTTGTCAGTTATTAAAGACGGGGTCTTATGATGAATCCCTGGTTGGCCTGGGATTCGCCATGTAGACCAGGCTGGCCTTAAATTCAACAGACTCACAGAGATACACCTCTCTCTGCCTCCAGTGCTGGTATTAAAGGTGTGCCCCACTTTCAGGCTAGGTTACTTCATTTCACTGAGCTTCAAAGTTCTTTTTGTATGGCTAGGTCGTTTTGTTGTTGTTGTTTGTTTGTTTTATTGTTGTTTTTGTTTTTGTTTTTGTTTTGAGATAGTGTCTTACTATGTTGCTCTGGCTGTCCCCGAACTATGTAAACCAGGCTGACCTGGAAATCGGAGATTCCCCCTGCCTCTGCCTCCCGAGTGCTGGAATTAAAGGCGTTCGCCACAACGCCCGACCAAAGGCATCATTTTTATGTTCTATCGTCATTAGTTTGGAGAACTAAATGAGATAATCCCCATGAAACTGCTGCTCACCGGATCTGAAACATAACAACGGCTAACACATCTGATGACTTATTAGTGACGGGGTTCCTGGTGATACCTGCGATTTTGGTTCCCCCACCCTCCACGCCCGTCGTGACGTGAGCTGAGGAGACAACGTGATGGCTAGGAAAAATTGAGACTCAAAAAGGCTGCTAGACCCAAAACTACAATTCTAGCTAATGCACAACAGCTCCGAGATTCAGGAATCAAACTTTCTCCCTAGGACCTCCCACCACTTTCTGGGAACTGCAATGCCTGCTTGTCGTTCTCCACTCTGGGAGGGGAGAATCCACAGCACTTGGAGCACCCTGCAGCTATTTATCCTTCAGACTCTTCCTGGCCTCTGCCCAGCAGAGCACCACCACACTCAATAGCCTCTCCTACCGTCAGAAAAGGTCACGCTGCCTCCTAGACTCTCCCCATGGAAACAGCACTCATGTAAACCTGGTCCTCCTTACAAAGTCAAAGGAAACCCTCGCTTCCTTAGTCCATGGGCGCAGCCATGTTGCTGTACGGAACAGGACCCCGGGAGCGCCTGGGCCGCTACATCCCGACGTCGCTTTTGTCCTAGATTCCAGTTTCGAGGATAGGGCCAGACTCCTCTCGGGACAAGGACACCGGCTACAAAACGCCAGGGGCCCCGGGTACGCTGAGGAGCGACCGACCCGCACACTTCCGGCGACTGCGATTGGCGCGGAGGAAACGCGTCTGCGTACTCGCCGCAGGCGTCTGACGTCACGGGGGCGGAATTTTTTTCAAAATTCAAACGGCCCTTGGTTGGCGGAGACGGAAGCTTTGGTTTTGGCGGCTGTTTTCGTGTGCAGTTGTGTGCAGTTTACTTCAAGTTGGGCGCTGGGTCTCGTCGAGAAGCCGAGAGGAAGGTAACTGCTGACGTGGGGTTAACTCTGTTCGTGCGAAAATGCTCTGCGGCGTTAGAGCCCTGGGGTGGAATCTGCCAGGCTCTGCTTTCACATTTCAGTGAGTTTGTGCGGGCAATGCTTGTAGAGGGAGAAGGGGGTACTGACCGGGTGGGGAGTGACAGGGAGGAGCTGATTGGAGCGCTGCGTTCGCACGCTAATGCTGCAGCTTAAAAGCCGTGTCCGGAGAAAAGCCTGGGAAACTGGAGTCTTTGAGAATAAAATCTAAGTGGAATGTAAGCAGCCAAACAAGGAGGGGGTGTGTCTCAGTACACAGCCTGTCGTGCTAAAGGTCCTGGCTTTCCATCCCCAGCCAAACAAAACAGACAGTAAAGTGAGGTCTGTCAAACCTCAAAGGAAGCCAGGGCAGGACCTGCAAAGGCTGAGTGGATAGTCTCTAACACTGCAGGGATCGAGACAGGATCCGACACAGACATGCTTATGACACTAATGTGTTTTGGAAATGGAAGCAGCCTGTATGTACATCATGTTGTGGACCAGATTGTTTATCGTTGTTGAAAGGGAGATTAGAACCAGAAAGACAGTAGTGAGTATTAACTGAGAAACATTTGGTTTTGAAACCAAAGGAAACATTTTGAGAGAAGTAAAGGAGCCTGAGATTTCTTGTCAGGAAGCCTGTGAATTACCACTGAAATAGACTTAAGCGATAGCAGTAATGTGGTCAGGGATAACATATAGGAATTTTGTAATCATGGATTGCCTTGTGATGCAGGAATCATATTGTTCATTTTTGTATTGCGTTGTTTGAGTGTATTAAATACTTGAAGTTGCATAGGTGTTCTTTGTAGTGGGGACTTAAGTATACATGAAAAACAAATATAGACCCAGGGAAATGACTATCATAAAGAAACAAACTTAGTTGCTTTTCTACTCCAGGATAAAAATGATGATTGTTGCTTAATGAACTGCTTGCATCTGGAACACTTTTCTAATATTGAAATTATGAATTAGGTTATAAGCATGAAGCGCAGTTCAGTTTCCACCGGTGGTGCTGGCCGCCTCTCTATACAGGAGTTGAGATCCCTGGACCTCAATAAACCAGGCCTTCATACCCCTCAAACGTAAGTACCTCCACCTATGGTTCTCACCTGCATACTTTACTATCTAAGGTGGAGAAAATGTAAGAAATGGTTAATACAAAAGTGTAAGTGGTGTCTTAGTGAATCTTGTCTCTTCCGGGTAGTACTGGATGAGGGTCAGTGAAACCTAAAAGTGGACATGGTGCTAGGTGGATTGGCTTGCCACGTTATTTCTCTAATTCCCAAGTCAGGTACTTTACCAGGCATTCTATCAAAGGATGGTTGAGCCCTTTCAACACTCTGTTTTCCTCTCCTACTTTATAATTAACTGTTTAAGCAGGTGCTAAGATGTTTCCAACTACTAAAAATAGTAATAAAATAGGGCCAGTAGTGTTGGCACACACTCTAGGGAGGCAGAGGCAGGTGGATCTCTGAGTTCGAGGCGCCAGCCTGGTCTACAAAGTGAGTTCCAGGACAGCCAGGACTACTCAGAGAAACCCTGTCTTGTCTTGAAAAACCAAAAAAAAAAAAAAGTAGTAATAAAATCAAAGCGATTTTGATGATAAACTATAAAATTATTTCCTCAAGTTTGGAGGGAGAAGGGTTTCCAAATGAGCGTGCTATCATAGCTGAGTGTGGTCACACACACCTGTAAGCCTAGTATTCAAAAGGCTCTAGGAAGAAGATGCCTCCATGTCAGTTCAAGGCCAGTGTGGGCCATACAGTAGTTCCCCAACCTACAGAGCAAGACATAGTTCACAAAGCAACCAACCAAAGAAATTGTCATCATAAGCATTAGCCTTTCACTCTGAGCGTTGCTCTTCTTCCAGTTAACAGAAGGCTGTTTCTACTGTGTATGGGTACTGTGTGTACCCATATCCTATAACGTCTACATATGAGCTACTTAATCAGCCATTCTTAAATTACTTGGAGTTATGTAGTATGAGCCTCTCCTGCTTTTAGAAATTTGAGCCATTTACATATGTTCCTTCCGGATTCTTGAAGCACATTTATTTTTAATCATTACACATTGCTGACACCAGAAGATTTCGTGCATTGAATCATATTAGAAGAAAAACTTCACCATCACCATCGTTTTTTTCAGAGTTCAGAAAATATGACTTTAAGTCGCTGTACCTAGTACAGGGGCTGAGAGAAAAATTTTGAGTTTGAGGCCAACTTAAACTACATAGTGAGTCCTAGGACATCCTAGAATGCAGAGTAAGACCCTATCTCAACATTTAAAAAGTAGGCTTTAGGGACTGGAGAGATGGCTCAGAGGTTAAGAGCACTGCTTGCTCTTCCAAAGGTCCTGAGTTCAATTCCCAGCAACCATATGGTGGCTCACAACCATCTGTAATGAGATCTGGTGCCCTCTTCTGGCCTGCAGGGATATGTGTACTGTATACATAATAAATAAATAATTTAAAAAAAAAAAAAAAAGTAGGCTTTAAAAGAAAAAAATTCAAACATAGCTGTCAACCTATAATTATTTTTTATATTTTTCTTAAAATTCTTATCCATACATAAATAAATTTTAAGATTAAAAAAACATAGATTAGAGGGTTGGGGATTTAGCTCAGTGTTAGAGCGCTTGCCTAGCAAGCACAAGGCCCTGGGTTCGGTCCTCAGCTGGGGTGGGGGGGGGGGGGGTAGATTAATTTTCTTTTTTTTTTTTTTTTTTTTTTTTTTTTTTCCGAGACAGGGTTTCTCTGTGTAGCTTTGGAGCCTGTCCTGGATCTCCCTCTGTAGATCAGACTGGCCTTGAACTCACAGAGATCAGCCTGACTCTGCCTCCTGAGTGCTGGGATTAAAGGTATGTGCCACCACCACCCAGCTCATAGATTAAAATTTTTAACGTTTTAAAATTATACCATCTTTTAGCTCATTCCAGTGAAAACAGTTACCAAAAACTTGTGTGGTTTTGGAAACTTGCTATAGATAGTGGAAAAGAGGTATTTGCTCTAACATATTTCCAAGATTACTTGAACTGATATTTTGACAATTACTTTAAAGACTTGTTTTCTATTTTTCTTTAAAGCAAAGAGAGAACAACCTTTGGAAAGTCGAGTACAAACAAACCCACATCTGAAAGAAAAGTCTCAATATTTGGTAAAAGGTAATGAAGTTTTTCATTATGTTTAATGAATAGATTCTTCTAGCCATTCATTAATTCCCTAAGAGACAAAAAAAAAAAAAATTATATTGTAAAGGTGCTTTCAAGACAAAAGTTATGATCCAATTTTCCTGTTTTAGATGGTGAAAATTCTAGGTGGTATCTGCTTTGCTGATGCTAGAGATGAACAGATTCAGACTACTGTTCTATCACTATAAGGTGATGGTCAAGTCTGTGCCATGTTCTGTACCTGGTTCTCAGAAACTGTAGAATCAGATGGTAAAAGGGCAACCATCCTCTAGTTCAACATTTGAGTCTTTTACTCTGTGAAAGTTAATGATGACTTCAAAGAGCTTTTGTTTTATTGTCTAGATCTGTCACTGTTATATTGGAAATTAAATTAAGAAACTCAATATAAACTCAATTTAAAATAACAATATTCCCATTGCATGGTTTCAAAAATAAAAAGCTTTTAATTTTTTTTTGCTTGTTTGTTTTGTTTTGTTTTGTTTTTCGAGACAAGATTTCTCTATGTAACTCTACCTAGCCTGGAACTCACTCTGTAGACCAGGCTAGCATCGAATTTAGAGATCCACCTGCCTCTGCCTCCCAAGTGCTCAGATTAAAGGAGTGCACCACCAGCAGCAGCAATGCTTTTAATTTTTAAAAATGTTTCTGTGTAACATGAATTCTAATTGATCTTAAAAATTAATAAATCGCCGGGCGGTGGTGGCGCACGCCTTTAATCCCAGCACTCGGGAGGCAGAGCCAGGCGGATCTCTGTGAGTTCGAGGCCAGCCTGGTCTACAGCGAGAGATCCAGGAAAGGCGCAAAGCTACACAGAGAAACCCTGTCTCGAAAAACAAAAATAATAATAATAATAATAATAATAATAAATCTATAATAAAAACCCAGAGTGAGATATCAGGGTAAAAGCTGAAAGATCAGGGAAGTGAAGGAGCCAGCCACTAGAGAAACTTCTTGCCTCTACCAAATCCTCAGACCAAAAGTGGGGGCTTAGCTCCTGTCTCCTCCCACCTTATATTACTGTCTCCACCTCCCTAGTGCTAGGATTAAAGGCGTGAGTATCCATTGCCTGTCTCTGTTTTTTCTTTTAGACTTGATCAATCTGGTATAGCCCAGGGTGGCCTTAGACTCCTGATCTTCTTGCTTCCTCCTCCCAAGTGCTGAGAGTAAAGATGTATGCCACCACTGCCTAGCCTCTATAGTTAGCGAGTAGCTAGCTCCAAACTCTGATCTCCAGGCAAGCTTTATTTGTTAGAGCACAAACTATCACCACATTTCTGGTGGAGCAAGATGGCTCAGCAGGTAAAGGCGCTTATCACGAAGCTAAAGACCTGCTTTCAGTCCCCAGACCCACATGGTACAAGGATCGAACCTACTACTGCAGGTTGTCCTCTGAACACACACACACACACACACACACACACACACACACACACACTCACACCCCTATCTAGACCCCCCACCCCCCTCCTCTGCCTCTCCCTTCCCCCCTCTCTCTCTCTCTCTCTCTCTCTCACACACACACACACACACACACACACACACACACACAATGTACTAGAATTCAA